TAGACTGGGACAAAATATCTAATACATCTAATCTGATGTGGGACTTGTATCAATAATAACAAAGTAATCCAATGATTAATAAGTAATGGGCAAAATATTTGAACAGGTGTATCATCAAAGAAAGTTGTAATCCTGTAGCCCACTGACCAAATCCTGGCCGCTGCCTGTTTTTGTAAACGAAGTTTTATTGGAACATAGCCACATTCATTCATTTAAATAGTCTATGGCTGCCTTTGTGCTACAGTAGCAGAGTTGAGACATTATGTCAAGTAGTTAGTACAAAGAGAAATTGCATTCAAAACCACTTAGTTTAAACAGCTTGTACAAATCCTTTACCAAGTTAAGTGGTGACTGCAAGCAAGCAAGGGGGGGATTGAAGGACTGTGCTGTCTTCCTAGGGAATTACTGTTTTCTCTCCACAGAGATGTCACCTTATGTCAGGATGTGGTGGTCTATGATCAGTTTAACACAATCCAGAGAGATGCAGGGAAGCAGTATTCTTAGTGGTCTGGCAGACCAGTTTTACCTGATATTTAGGAAGTCTGGACAATGAGTATGCCTTACAGTTTTGTGGGGCCTCAAATTCTTATGGGTTTGCTGTTACCAGCTATTTTCTCATTGGTTGGTTACACTGTAAGTTATGTAAACCATTGCATCATTAATTATATAAGTTGTTTACATAGGACATGTTTTGACTTTGGGATACAACAGACATTAATTTCCTTTGAGCAAGTTAGCTATATGTTTATCTATAACATCTTTACAACTTATTTTCAAGAAAAACATGTTTTTTTTTTTTTTTTTGAGACAGAGCCTCAAGCTGTCCCCCTGGGCAGAGTGCCATGGCATTACAGCTCACAGCAACCTCCAACTCCTGGGCTCAAGCGAGTCTCCTGCCTCCGCCTCCCAAGTAGCTGGGACCACAGGCGCCCGCCACAACGCCCGGCTATTTTTTGGTTGCAGCCATCATTGTTGTTTGGCGGGTCCGGGCTGGGGATTCGAACCCGCCACCTTAGGTGTACGTGGCTGGCGCCTTAGCCGGTTGAGCTATAGGCGCCGAGCCAAAAAACATGTTTTTAATCAAGGAAACGCTTTTGGTGGGAAAGTTTGCTTATCACTTTTAAGCATAGCAAACATATCATTTTCTGCTATTAAAATGTAGACTGTGTTAGCCCTAATAGAAAATTGATTTCACAGATCACAAAGTATGATTTAGTTTACTTAAATTTAATCTGGTATTACCATTTTTCTACAGTAATATAATTTAATGTAGTGTATAAGCATACACATGATTTGTGTAATCCTAATTTCAGTATCAGAATATTTTTATCAGAAGTACAATAATATGAGCTCTATGAAAATTTTCTTTTTTGTCTATTACATTTGAACATTAGCTAATCATCAGTTTGATAGCCAAGCCAAATTGCATATTATAGGTAAATTTTCCAACTGGAGCAAAACTTAAAGAATGTGTAAGATCATCTTTGATTTTTCTCTGCTTACTTCCACACCATATTTCTGCAAATCCTATCAGTTTAAAATGAACCTTGAATCCATCCTCTTATCTACATATCTTTATCTCCCCTCCACTTCCCAGTCTAAACCATTTTTGTATTATTTCATTTAGAATAGCCTGTGTGTTAACCTACAAATTAGTCTTCTCATCTTGGTGGTTTAATATAGCAGAGGTCTTGTGCTTTCCACAAAGTCTACTGTGGTTTGTGCTTTGCTTCTCCTCAACCTTGTAAATATACTACCCGCACTTGTGGCTTTGAAGATCCTTAGGTAGACTGAAAATGACAATGTCACTTTTCCTTACAGCCCATTGGCCATAATTAATCACATGGTTTTGAGCTAAGCACAAGTGAGGCTGAAAAATGTAGGGCAGCCCAGGAAAACTGTACCATACTCAGGTCATTATGGCTACGTTTTCATTGTTTCCCTTATTTTTTGTCATGTCCCACCATGATACTTTCTCCACTTAGTAGCCAAAGTGTTTGGAAAACATTTTTTTGTTACTGCCTTGCTAGTAGTTTGTTCTTTTTTTTTTTTTGAGACAGAGCCTCAAGCTGTCCTCCTGGGTAGAGTGCTATGGCATCACAGCTCACAGCAACCTCCAACTCCTGGGCTCAAGTGAGTGTCCTGCCTCTGCCTCCCAAGTAGCTGGGACCACAGGCACCCACCACAATGCCTGGCTATTTTTTGATTGCAGCCATCATTGTTGTTTGGCGGGCCCAGGCTGGATTCGAACCTGCCACCTTAGGTGTATGTGGCTGGCGCCTTAACCACTTGAGCCACAGGTGCCGAGCCTAGTAGTTTTGATTTGCAGAAAAATCCAAACACTTTATCCTCACCTGTGCAAATTACTGCATGCTGTAGCCCTTGCCTTCCTCTCCAATTTCATGATGGATATTTAGTGTTACTAAATATTATTTATGTTAGTGCATTTTGAATAGGAGTTCTCTTTTATTTTGTTAGCAGTTATAAAAATGTGATTTTTTTAGAAGTGTCAAATTTAGAAAATAACAATAATGACTATAAACAATATTGACACAAAAAGAAATCCTACTTTATTTGTTATCTTCAGTCACAATTTATACACCAGAGCTGGTGGGTTCAAATCCAGCCTGAGTTTGCCAAACAGCAATGACAACTACAGCCAAAAAGTAGCCAGGTGTTATGGTGGGTGCCTGTCATCCCAGCTACTTGGGAGGCTGAGGCAAGAGAATTGCTTCAGCCCAAGAGTTTGAGGTTGCTGTGAGCTGTGATGCTACGGAACTCTATCCAGGGTGACAGCTTGAGACTGTCTCAAAGAAAAAAAAATCTTTTTGGGAACATTGATATAATGTAAAATCTTGTTATTAAATATAAGAAATAAATTCTCTATAGGAAAGTTACAACAATTGCATACTGTTTATCTGATAGCAAATGGTTTCTTACAATAAATATTTCCTCTAGCTAATGATACATGAAAGATATTCCATTGTGGTTAAATGCATTTTTTAACATTTCAGATTAATATAAAGGTACTGACAATTCGGTTATATTGTTTGCATTTGTTAGGCAGAGTCCAAGTTGTACTTGTGGCCCTTACCCATGAGGTGTGCCATATACCCTTACATTGTGCCTGTTAGATCTGTTAGATAAGAGCACACCAATCCTCCTCCCTCCTCCTCTCCCATCTCCTCTCCCTATCCCCACTTGACTTTGTGTTTTCTCTTGTATGGGTGTGTATTTGTTTATCTACTGGTTTCGTGGTTAAATGAATTTTAAGGGCTGGACACCATGGCTCACACCTATAATCCTAGCACTCTGGGAGGCTGAGGCAGGTGGACTGCCTGAGCTCAAGAGTTCAAGACCAGCCTGAGCAAGAGCTAAAACCCATGTCCTAAAAATAGCCAGGTGTTGTGGGGGGCGCCTGTAGTCCCAGCTACTTGGGAGGCTGAGGCAAGAGGATAGCTTGAGCCCAAGGGTTTGAGGTGGCTATGAGCTATGATGCAGTGGCATGCTATCAAGGATGACAAAGTGAGACTTTGTCTCAAATAAATAAATAAATGTATTTTTAAAAATTAACAAGCTCATTTTTTTTTTTTAAGAGAAGTTTTAAGTTCGTAGCAAAATTCAGTGGAAAGTACAGAGTGTTAATATATACATCCTATCCTCACCGGAGGTATAACCTAACCCACTATCAGTGTCTCAGTGTCTCATACTGGAGTGGTACATATGTTACTATCGATGAACCTATGTTAATATATCATTGTCACTCAAAAGTGCATTATTTACATTATGCTCACTCTTTGTGTAGTATATTCTATAGGTTTAAATAATAAATGCATTTTTTTCTTTTTGAAGTTTTTGGCTGAGGCCAGGTTTGAACCCACCTTACTCCTTTGAGCCACAGGCGCTGCCTGATAATAAATACATTTTTAGATAAGTTTTTTATAACATTTATATGTTTTGCAATTAAGTAATTGTTCTTCAGTTATACCTTCAGTTTATATTTTCCTTTGGCAATCGTATCTCCTAATTATCACATACAAGCACCTTGCCTATAATCTCAAATAATTTTCTTTCTTTTTTTTTTTTAACATTTTTTTCTTTTTGCAGTTTTTGGCCAGAGCTGGGTTTGAATCTGCCACCTCCAGCATATGGGGCCAGTACCTTACTCCTTTGAGCCACAGGTGTCACCCTCAAATAGCTTTCTAATTAGAATGATTGAAATATTTTCATAAAGTAATTTGTAATCTCACAAACTACGTATTGGAGCAGTGCTTTGCCATACGATAGAGGAACTAGAAGGATTCAGTCTATATTCTCAAATATACATAAAAGGCTTATATAAATTATCTGGATTGTGAATCCTAGGAATCAATTTTCCAACAATCTCTTTGTCTTAGTAAACATCTCAAAATTTATATATTTGTATGCTTATTTGAAATGTAAGTTGAACATTCACTTTTTAAATAATTTTTGATAATTTTCTTAAATTGGTTTTAAGTATTTATTAGTTAATAATGATGCCTCTTTAAGCAAATGAAAATTACATATCATAAATTTGAGTACACTACAGTTTGTTTCATGGATTTATATCCAGTGTAGTTCAAATGGTTTGTTCGATACTTGATGCCTACTCACTCACATATAAAAGTCTCATGTATCAGTGTTTATTTACGTGGTGTTAGTGTTTATACTGTGTTTCCTTTTCCTTCCTGGCCCATCTCTATCCTTTAGTGTTAATAAAGTACTAAGTGGCAGAGGGATTATCCTACTACAAGATCTGTAATATTGATTAAAAACAGTATCTGTGGGGTAGAAAAGTAAAGAAATTAAATCTTTCTTTTTTTACAATAAGAAGTCAACCTGGCATTCTCTCTTTGTATAATTAATGTGTTGTAAAGGAAATTGGATTTGATGATGGGAGTCAAGGAGATTATTAAGCAGTCTGTCTGGAAACTTGATTGCCTTTGTACTTTGACTAACGGTGTTTGTCTTATTCACAGTGACTGTAGTACTGAATGGAAGTGGCTTGTAGACAGAGCAAGAGTTGGCAGCCGATGGACTTGGCTTCAAGCCCAGATTTCAGAGCTCGAATACAAAATCCAACAACTAACAGAGGTTCACAGGCAGATTCGTGCCTCCAAGGTATTGTCTGTGTTCTTCTATTTCTGATAAAAACTGCTACTGTTTTAGTTCTGTCCTTTGCATTTCATCACCTAAAATAATTGTTAGACAGTTTTATAAAAATGTACTGTTTTTGTTAAGATTTTTGATATATTAATTGCTATCAATTGATGTTATTTTTGTAATGCCTTTGTATTTAACCAAGATTATTTTATACTTTTTGTGCAATTCAGATATCCTTAATGGATTCCATTTAATAGAAATTATGTACATTTTTTTCCAATTTTTTATTGTAAAATACATATAAATACAAGATTTACCATCTTAACAATTTTTGAGTATACCGTTCAGTGTTATTAAATATATTCATAATGTTATGCAACCATCACCATCCAACTCCTGTAATTCTTTTCATCTTTTAAAACTGAAGTTCTGTATCCATTAAACAATAACTGACCATCTCCCCTTCTCCCTAACCCCTAAAAATTATGCCTGAGTCTATGGTTTTACTATTTTAAGTACCTCATATCAGTAGAATCATAACAGTATTTGTCTTTTTGTGACTTGCTAATTTCACTTAGCATGATGTCTCAAGTTTCACTCATATTGTAGTTTATACTAGAATTTCTTTCCTTTTTAAGGCTGAATAATTTCATTATATGTATGCACCACATTTTGGTTATTCATTTATCCACTGATGGACACTTGGGTTGCCTCCATGTTTTAGCCATTGTAAGTATGCTATAAATGTGGATATAAAAATATCTCTTTGAGATCTTGTTTTTAATTCTTTTGGGTATATGCCCAGAAGAAGTGGAATTGCAGGTTCACATGGGCATTCTATTTTTAAGTTTTTGTGGATCTACCTTAATATTTTTCCCAGTGGCTATACCAGTTTATATTCCTACCAATAATGAGAGAAATTTTCAATTTCTCCAAATTCTCACTGACATTTATTTTCTGGGTTTTTTTTTTAAAATGGTAGCCATCTTAATGGATATGATATAACTTACTGTAGTTTGGTTTGATTTTCCTAATAATTAGTGATACTGAGCATCTTTTTATATGCTTATTGGAGATTTGTGTACCTTCTTTGGAGGAATATCTGATCAGGTTTTTTCCCCAGTTTTTAGTTGGGTTGTTTGCTTTTTTCTTATTGAGTTTAGGAATTCTCTATATATTCCAGATATTAATCCCTTGGTAGATATACAGTTTGCCAATATTTTCTGACATTTAATGGGATTCCTTTTTATTCTACTGATGCTGTTCTTTGTTGCACAAATTTAAAAAAATTTTACGAAGTCGAATTTTTTTCTTTCATTAGCTATGCCTATGGTGTCATATCCAAGAAATCATTGCCAAATCTAATGTCATGCATGAAGCTTTTCCCCTTTATTTTCTTCTGAGAGTTTTATAATTTTAGGTTTTACACTGAGATCTCTGCTCCATTTTGAAGTAATTTTTATATGTATGTAGTGTTAGGTAAGGGTCCAGTTTCATTTGCTTGCATTTGGGTTTCAGTTTTCCCAGGATGACTAGTTGAAGGGACTATTTTTTCCCCACCAAATGAAATGATCTTGGCACTTTTGTCAAAAATCACTTGACCATATATGTGAGGGTTTATTCCTGGGTTCTCTGTTCTATTGCATTGGTCTATGTGTCTGCCTTCTCCCACCACCCTGTTTTGATTATTGTAGTTTTTTAGTAATTTTTGATGTCAAGATATATGAGTCTTCTAGCTCTTATTTTTTAAGATTGGGCTATTTGGGGTCCCATGAGAGTCCGTATGCATTTTAGGATGAGTAGTTCTATTTCTACAAGAAAAAAGTCATTGAGATTTTGATAGGGATTGCGTTGAATCTGTAGATTGCCATGAGTAGTATTGACATTTTAGCAATATGGAGTCTTCTAATCTGAAAATGTAGGATGTGTTTCCATTTATTTTTATCTTCCTTAGGTTTTTTCACAATATTTTGTAGTTTGTACTAGTCTTTCACTTTTTTGGTTAAGTATTTATGATATTTATCCTTAAATATTTTATTCTTTTTGATACTATTATGAATGGAATTTTTTTTTTTGTAACTGTCTTTTGAGATTGTTCATTGTTCTCATGCAGAAATGCAACTGACTTTTGTGTGTTGACTTTGTATCCTGATACTTTGCTGACTTCATTTATTAATTCTAACAGTTTTGGTGGAATCTTTAGGGTTTTTTATGTATCAGATTATATCATTTGTAAATAGTGATAATTTTAGTACTTCCTTCACAATTACAATGTTATTTATTTCTTTTCTTGCCTAATTGCTTTGTCTAGAATGTCTACTGTGTTGAAGAGACTTGGTGAAAGTAGGCATCCTTGCATTGTTTTAGATCTTGGAGGAGAAAAGCCCTCAGTCTTTATCCATTGAGTCTGATATGTTCAATGTGGGTTTTCATATATGGCTTTGATTCTGTTAAGGTAGTATTCTTCTATTCTTCATTTTTTGAGTGTATCATGAGCAAGTTTTGAATTTTTTCCAAATGCTTTTTCTGCATTAATTGATAGAATTCTGTGGTTGGTTTTTTTTAAATGTGATTGGTTTTTATATGTTGAACCATTTTTGCATTCCCGGAATAAGTCTCATGTGGTCTTGTTTGGTTGGTTGATTGGTTTGTTTGATTATTTATTTATTTATTTATTTGAGACAGAATCTCACTTTGTCACCTTGGGTAAAGTCCCATGGCGTCATAGCTCACAGCAACCTCAAACTCTTAGGCTGAAGCAATTCTTTTCTCTCAGCTTCCCAAGTACCTGGGACTACAGGCACTCAACACAACACCCAGCTATTTTTAGAGATGAGGCTCTCACTTTTGCTCAGCCTGGTCTCAAACTCATGAGCTTAAGCAATCCACCCACCTTGATCTCCCAGAGTGCTAAGGTTACAGGCCTGAGTCACTGCACCCGGCCAATTGGTCTTGATTTATAATTCTGTTAATATACTGCTGAGGGCCAGGTGTGGTGGCTCATGCCATAATTCTCATACTCCGCGAGACTGAGGCAGGTAGATTGCTTGAGCTCAGGAATTTGAGACTAGCCTGAGCATGAGTGAGACCCTGACTCTACTAAAATATAAAAACTAGCTGGCTGTTGTGGTGGACACTTGCAGTTCTGGCTACTTGGGAAGCTGAGACAGGAGGAACTCAAGCCTAGGAGTTTGAAGTTGTGAGCAAAGACACCATGACCCTCTACCCAGGTGACAGAGTGAGACTCTGTTTCAAAAAAAAATCCTGCTGAATTTTGCTAGCTACTTTTTGGTTGAAGATTTTTGCATCAGTGTTTATAAGGGATATTGATTTGTAGTTTGTTTTCTTTCAGTATCTTTGCCAGGCTTTGGCATCAGCACAATGCTGGCCATAGGACTGAATTAAGAAATGTTTCTTCCCCTTCATTTTTTTGAAAAATTTGAAAAAGATTGGCTATTGTTTTCACTAGATGTTTGAAAGCCAGACATAGAGACTCATGCCTGGAATCTCACTGCTTTTGGAGGCCAAGGCAGGAGGATTGCTTGTGACCAAGAATTGAAGACCAGAGAAGGCAACATAGTGAGAGCCATTCTCTACAAAATAATAATAATAATAATAATAATAATATTTAGTCTGTCATGGTGATATGCGCCTGTAGTTCTACCTACTTGGAAGGCTGAGGTAGAATTGTTTGAGCCCAGGAGTTCAAGGTTACAGTGAGGTATAATTATGCCATTGCACTCCAGCCTAGGCCACAGAGTGAGACCCTGTCTCTAAAAAAAATGTTTTTTCAATGTTTGGTAGAATTTAGCAGTGAAGCCATCAGGTCCACAGCTTTTCTTTATTAGGCAATTTTAATTGCTAATTTAATCTCCTTAATACTTATAGATCTATTCTATTTTCCTAATTCTTTGTGATTGCGATTTGATCTTGGTGGTATACTTTTTTTCATAGTACTCTTTTGTAATCATTTTTAATTTCTTAGGAATCAGCAATACCATCCCCAGTTTCATTTCTGATTTTAGTGATTTGAGTCTTCTCTGTTTTCTTAGTTCATCTAGTTAAGAAGTTTGTCAATTTTGTTGACCTTTTCAAAGAACCAAACTTTAGTTTCAGCAATTTCTTCTATTGTTTTTCTGTCTTTATTTTTATTTATTGCTACTGTAATCTTTATTATTTACTTTCTTCTACTGGATTTTGATATGATTGTCCTTTTTTTAGTTCCTTAATTCATAATATTAGAATTTTTCATTGCATTCCCTAAGTTTTGGTATGTTGTTATTTCATTTTCATCCATTTCTATGTATTTTCTAGTCTTTACAATTTCTTCTTGAATTTATCAGTTGTGAAAATGTAATTTCTATAAATCTGTGAAGTTTTTAGTTTTACTTTTGTTATTGATGTCTGAGTTCAGTCTTTTGTGATTTGAGAAAATACTTCTCATAATACTTTTTTTTTTACATTTCTTGAGATTGAGATTTAATCTGTGGCCTAATATATGGTCTTTTCTGGAAAATATTCCATGTGCACTTGAGAATTTATTTTTGGTTATTGTTGGGTAGAATGATCTGTATATGTCTGTCAGATACAGTTCATTTATTGTGTTAAATCCTCCTAACTTATCTTCCATCTAGCTGTTCTGTTCATTATTAAGAGTGGATTACAGAAGTATCCAATCACTATTGTAGAACCATTGATTTCTCTTTTCAGTTTTATCAGTTCTTGCTTCATATGTTTTGATGGTCTATTATTGGGTATGTAAATGTTTATATCTGTTATATCTTCTTGCTATATTTAACATGTTATTAATATATAATGTCCTTCTTTGTCTCTTGTAGACTCTTTTGATTTAAAGTCTCTTTTGTCTATTATTAGTATAGTCTCCTTTGTTCTCTTTTGATTCTTATTTGCATGGAATATCTTTCCATCTTTTCGTCTTTAACTTATTTGTGTCATTGTATTTAAAATGAGTCTCTTAAAAAAAGTGAATCTTGTAGACTATGTGGAATTAGATCTTA